GCTGGGGGGGGCTTCAGCCCCCCAAGTTTGGTTCAAGCCCCCCCAACTCTGGTCGAAATGCGTCCGCCCCACCCCAACGAGGCGAAGTTAGCCCCCCCAACGTTCCGCTTAGCCCCCGATTAGCCCCCCAACTTTCCTCTTAGCCCCCCCATTGACGAAAACCTGGCTACGCCACTGCACTCCAATACCACCAGGAGCTCTTGTCCATTCCCAAAGTCTAAGTTCTTTTCAATATTTGCTGATTGAATTGTTTTGACGCAACAAATTTTGGGTGAAATTTGAGGTATCAGTTGGAAACATAAACATATATGCATAGTGAAAGTTTCGCAAATGTAGCTCTACTGTGAGGGGAGATATTCAGGTTTAAAGGTCGTTGGTCATTTTTTTGTCATACCCTGCATACTATACAGTATACTAGAACACACCTGCCTTCTGCGGGATCCAGGTAACAAAAATTCCAACAGACATGAAGAACTCGAGTTAATTTTTAATTAGCAGTAAGAGGAAATACTATTAGAAACCAGATGTAGAGGACGTCGTTGAGGTCCAAGAGACGGCGTGGTCCAATCCAAGAGAGAGCACTAAGGAAGTAGCATCAGGGAAAAAAAAAACTAAATAACTTTTAAATAAATTAATCAATCAACATGTTATATCGTTTTGCGCAAGCCTACAGACCGTGACAGTTAATATGAAACCACTCTCACCTTCATATGACCTCTCCTTCATTGTTAGGTAATTCGGTTATCTGCGTATTATAATGTAGAAATAACACCCTTGTGTTTAACACTCTTTTTTACATCCTAATTTTGAATTTTCAATGTATTTACGCATGCATAGAATTTTTGGATATGAGGGAACGCCCCTGCGGCGTTATATGGTCACCGTTGGAATAAGTCCATCGTCCAAGCAGGATCAGCCAGGGTGCTGACTTCTGACTAGCATTGTCCTGAGGTACCGATTTCGAATTCTGTGGGTCTGCCAGGTATACGTGCCTATGACGTCAAGCTATGTACCGGGATAGCAAAAACAGAGTAATTCGTACCGAGAGACTCGCAAAAACATTCCTTGACTTAACTTCCGGTAAGTGAGCATCAAGAATCACGTTTAACTTGAGTTGATTCGATTTATCTCGTCCTTGTGAACATGCCATTAGGCTTTGGCAGGCTTCGAAAATTCAGACACGTGATTGAAGCTTGGACATCTAGAAGTTTTAAGGCAAAAAAAAATTGGAATTAAAAGAACATTAAAAGTTATTTTGGTGTTTCTTCTAACAGGCAGAAGGAATAATCGTGGAGCAGAAGATAATATCTCTGCTCACTTTCACACTATTTTTGGCTTCAAAATATTTTAAAGTAGATTGCATGTATGCTGATGATACTGACGATATTCGTAGATCCCGATCACTGCGTAGAAGCCAGTAAAAAGAAAAGAAAAGGGAAGGTGGAGACACGAGAAAGGCAGGAACCGGTCTAAATAGTTTCATTTGCAGGATGTGCGTGGCGAGAGGAAAGGAAAGGGAAAGTTTCTCGGCCTGTTTTAATTGCGTAAGTCATCCGATCGCTTGAATTTCCATTGCAGACGGAGCAACCCTACCCATCCAAGTGATGCAAGTCCCAAGAAACACGAAACCGGGAAAAATACGGAAGAACGAGAAGGGTGAAGTTCGGTTCCTGGATGATCGAGATTGGGAAAGAGGCAGGTATAACCCGGGCATATTCCGAGGACGATTCCAGTAATCTTTCGCTGGTCATCCATCCGTGCAGGTTGCAGACCGACCTCCTCACCCTCAGCGATGAAACTTTCGGTGGGAAGTCCACGTCTCGAACGAGTCTAGCCTTTACCGCGTACATTTCAATCTTCGAGTTACCGCAACTTTTTTTTCATTTCTATATTAGGAGGTGGTGTTGTTCTTGGGCTCCCTCTTGGGGGTGGCTCGAGCCGGTGTAAACTGGAACTGGTGTTATGGCCATCTTTGTGGCCCTGGACTCTATCATCTCAGCCTTGCGTAAGTTCCATTCTCCAAGGATAACTTCTTCGTCGAAATATCCCCATGACGACTAAGAATAACATAATTCGCAACCTCGAGGGCATATTCCTGATTTTGAAATTTGGTGATTACATTGGGTGTTTTTAATAGAATACGATGAAAATTTTCTCAGTATTAATTGTAATTAATAAAATAATTTTTTATTACTTAGAATGATGAAATTTAAATGTGCAATAATACTTTTTTTTTTGCTTGCCCAAAAACGCCTCTCTGGCTGATCAGATCTTTACGCGGATACATGGTAGGCAAGAATAGATAGAGTTGGCGTGGATTACTATTTTGTTTACTTAAAATAAACTACCGTTGTAAGCATTTCTATTCGACGAAGCATCCAAACCTGTAGGACCAGTTGTAACTGCGATAGGAAAAATGACAAAAAAGCTGGAACCGGCGGAAACAGCGTCCTCACGAGCTTTGAAAGAAGAAGCGAGAACGCTGCTTCCATGCTTCCTGCAATAACATAATTAAAAAATTATAATGACTGGGTGCTCAATGAATGGTTTAAATCATTTTATGTCCGCTCTTTTGACCAGGTACAGGCTTGTTATCATTATATGATGATAAATCCCAACTGAAAATGATGTACAGCAGAATGTCCCTAGCATATATATATATATATTTTTTATTTTTACCAGGCCATACGTGATGCCACCAGGGCAGTACCTTGACAACCCAGTCATCCTTGCTCCACCACCCATCTATAGACGTTCAGGAGGAAGAAGTAGAAGTCCGAAGATTCTTCTTCGACTCGGAGGCGGCGGTGGAGGAGGAGGCAGCGGAAACGAGAACGTCAACGTCGACATCGACGTCGAAGAAGGAAAAGGGGGAGAAGGGGGAGGAGGTGGAGGGGGAGCAGCAGGAGGAGGGGGAGCAGCAGGAGGAGGTGGAGGCGGCATGGCGGGTAAAGGTGTGAAAGTCCTCGGATCCATTAATGGTGTCCCGATTAGTCAAAGTCCAGCGGCTGGGATCCGCATCAACGGAATCGCACCGGGAGGCGCTGGTGTCCCCGTAGCGGCAGCCGCCGCTGCCCCTGGAGCTGGAGGGGCTGCACCTTGAATTTCAAGCTCTCCCCAAACACTTATGTATACTACCTTTTCCCCTTACCTTCTCTCGGTCGGTGTATATATCACATTGTGCTGTACAATTTGTACGATGATGTGACTGTCTAGTCCTTCATGTTTCTCTGACTTAATGTATCTGTACTGACGCGGGCAGGTTCTATATGAATACGATCCTTATATGCTCGTCTCGTTACCACTCATCGAGTCTTCCTGTACAGTATTGACGGATAACTGCATTGCACTGCATTGTATCTGAAATATACCTTTTGTAAACTTGTATTTGGTGTATCATAAATTAACCAGGGTTTCTTGGAAGGAGCCAGTATGCACCATATGTCGTGCCCTGCCATGTGTGAACCATACCGACTGTTATGAAACCAATTATATTGTGTAATTTATATATTATCCGTAGTAAATAGGGCAAGATGAAAAGTCCAAAAAAGACCTCAACCTGGCCTGAGATGAAAAGTTGCTTCTACCAACCAATCCAGCTCCTCTTCTCATCTTTACTATCTTCTTATAATCGAATGGCTGACAGAAAGATTTGAATGAGCCTAGAGTTGGAGCACAGAAGCCAACTGAAGATGTACCGAACAAATTGCCTGATTGAAAGGATTTCTAATCGGGGGAAAAAAAAAAACTAGATCAGAAATCCTGCCCAGGGATTACGAAAGGAGAGTCAAGGTGAATCGAAAACCTGTACCTGCATTTCATGAATTTTCTTTTTCCTTTTAACACCATCGAGGCTAGCTGGCCGTACGTATTAGATAACGAGGTAAGGCACCTTGACCCAATCCTTTGGTTAAAACCTCTAGTTCTCCGTCCCAATTCTCTCAGATTCATTCCCTCCTCCTCCTTTGTGGTATCAACAAGAAGACAGTTCCTTGACCAGTTCTCACTCATCATGAACACTTTCGTGAGTTCAACCAATCCCTACACCTTGATAAGTTTCACCTGAAATTCTTTCGCTCTTGGCTTTCGTGGTCAATATTCTGAATATCAAGGAAAGATTCCTTTCATGCTGCTGAGACTCCAGATTTTTGCGGATAGGAAGCAAATGATGTTAGAAAAAGGGAAACTTAGGTAGGACATTTGTCGCTTCTTTGAAAGCAGTAGCGTGCAGACTGTAAAAGTTGAGTGGGCAAAAGACCACTTAGCACTTAGAGGAAATATCCTCACCTATTTACGCACGACTCACCCACTGACACACAGTACTCAATCGACACATGAATCACCATAAAAAGCGATTCTGAATGTCTATCGGCGGGACTCCTTCACTTGTAAGGAATTTAAGCGCTGCCCTCTGACAAAGGGCCTTCGTCATACTTCACCGTATTGAATCGCCACAGTATCGGAACTTTCTGGGTAGGAATCACGAAACTTAACGAAGAATGGGAGGACGTTTGAAAGTATCTGCATTTTGCATTTTTGAGCTTGTGCCACCAGTTATTAACGATAGACAAAATTAGAGCATCACTCTTGGGGAAGACCCTAGTACCTGCTGTTATTATGGGAGATGGGCATTCACTCCTGTATGCTCCTCCGGCAGTGCGGATCGAACAGTCATGCCTTGTATGCTTCGCTGTTTCTTACTTTTTGTTCTTCCTCTTATCTCCAGTATACATTTTTCTTTGCTTCTCCTCTCCCCATATTCCCTCAAGCGACGCACGGAAGCACTCCGTGGGATGCACATTGCGCATCCCTTTTTCAAGTTCTGGGCCTTGATGTAAATCTATTGCAGCAAAGAGACATGAACATCGTCGGCTAAGGCGAAACTGCTCCTCTTTTACTTTCCCGACTTCAGTTTTCTGCTATCTTGTCTTGAATGGATTGTTCTTGTTGATCGGATTGGGCATATATCATATAGAAAAGAAAAAGTAATTGCTCGGGTGGTGGCACCCCTGGAATGGTTGCAGCGAGAGCTCCACCGAGGAGTCTGCACGCTATTGACGAAGGGTTTTCAGGAGAGCTAATGGGGAGCTGAAGGACACTTACTTTTCACATAACGTACCCAGGAAATTGCAAAGATTTTGAAAGAAGAATTTATCATTTCATGTTTTTATTCTGCTCTCGATACAAAAGGTAACAAGGTCTTTTTCCATGGGAATTTTCCGAGAAAGCTATTGGCATCACTAAAGAGATGGGCCAAAGATGATTGGAGAAATCTAACTCTTCAGAGTACAGAAGCCAGAAGCTCCAAATTTCAAGCCCCTCTTCATGCAACAAGGCATGAGACGGGAGAACATCGCTGCTCGTACGAGTTCCTGCCTTCTACTGTATATGGCGACAATCTCTAAGACTACGTCCATAGTGAATGAGGAATACAAGCAGTTTTCGTCATCTGCCTCGTCTGTTGGGAAAGGCAGCTTGAGTACCCTAGAACCTTCCCTGAAAGGGGAAATTTCCCTCCAAAGTCTTCAGTTTTTGTTGAAGTCATGACGAAAGGTAGAGTCTTCCTTCAAACCCAAGACGTGTCTCATGATAAACTGCTATCGTGCATACAGTACTGCCTGTCGGTTCAATTTGCTTTGTTTAAAACCATCCAAGGGGAAAGGAATTCACTATAACAGTGATTCTTCTGCAGAAATCACTGCATGTCCTCTCAGATTCGAAGTGGAAGAAATCAGAATGAAAAATCAGTGACGGAGTGCACTAAGGAAATAGATCTGGGAAAAAGTATTCGGAACTTTTAGTGGGTTAAGCTTGAGGGGTTCGTGCCACGCCGCCTAAGCTTATTCTGTCGCTGTTATATACGAAAAGAAAGAGGCTGAAGAGCTCTGTAAAATTTTGTATATCTGTCGTGTATAGCTTTCAGTAAAAGTTTTCCCGCGCGATTGAAAAATGAGGCTCGACCACCACATCCGTCATTGCTTACTTCTCCAGTTCGATAAGGGGCGCAACGCGAACGACGCGGTCCGTCGCATAAAGGTGTACCCCGATGCCTGTTTAAGCAAATCCACAACATACGAATGGTTTGAGAAGTTTTCACGTGGAGATCGAACTCTACGAGATGAACGGGTCCGAGATGAACGGGAGAGACGGATGGGCGTCCAGAACTCCGTTCTGGACGCCCATCCGTCATCGATGACGATGCGCTTTTCAGGTACTAGCTTCTGTTAGGCGTGGTTTGGTGCAGACTTAACCGCTCGTTTGAGCCGACGCTGGCTTGTTGTCACAGGTTAGTGGAAGTGTGGTACCTGGAAGTGCGGTTTCCACGTGTTTGAGGACAAATGGGTCCCTCACAAGTTGTCCGAAACCGAGAAGATTCAACGAGCGACCACTAGCTCATATTTGCTTTCGCGTCACAAGGAAGACCCGATCTTTGGCCGGATCATCACGTCAGATGAGAAGTAGGTTCTGTGGAACAACCAACGAAGATCATACTCTTGGCTGGACCCTGATGAACCCCCGAGCAAAATGCCGAAACCCGACCAACACCCAAAGAAGGTCCTTTTGTGCATTTGGTGGGCCCGATTCGGCGTGATGCACTACGAGCTCCTCAAAACCGGCCAGTCCATCAATGGGGACGTCTACTGCACCCAACAACAGCGTGTCCATGAAGCCCTGCTTAAATCTCGGGCCGCATTGGTCAATCGAAAAAAGGTCCTCTTCTTGCACAACTCAAGACCACGCGATGCCAAAAAGACCCAGCGAATATTGAAGGGCCTCGACTGACGAGTTCTGCCACATCCACCGTATTCACCGGACGTTGCACCATCGCTACTACCTATTCAGGTCGCTGGACAACTTCATGTGCAAGAAGCAGTTCCCGAACGAAGGTGCACTCAAAAAAGGCACTTAATGGCTTCTTTGGCTCACGGGAAGCGATGTTTTGGGAGAGAGGAATCGATTCTCTTAAGGAAAGATGGGAAAAAGTTCTAGATTGTGAGGGAGATGATTTTGATTGATGAAGTTTGTTGTATAAAAAGTTACAGCGTATCAAAGATATGGGTCGAATAGTTCCGGATACTTTTTCCCAGACGTGATATTTCAGGGAAAGGCATTAAGGTACACAAAAACCCATGCCAGTGACGACTATCCAAGAGACAGACTAGAGCAATCTGTACCAGCAAAAGAAAAAGTTTAAGATATGAAATATATATAAGTTGAAGATAAGAAGATGCGAGGTGATGTTTGAATGGTACAGGTGGTTTTGTGCGGGGTGCTGTTGGCGTTGTTGGGAGGATCGGATGGACAGATCCGATGCTTTGGAAGCGGGTGTGGAGGTGGGAAATTCCTCTCCTGCGGCGGAGGCCTCTGCCAAGGAGGGAAATTCGGGCGCGGCGGATTCTTCGGCAGGTATGTTTCCTACTTTGTTTTGCATTCCTCATATCACCCTCTTTCACTTCCTCTTTCCTCTTTGCCGATATCCATGACCGTGCATCTGACCTTTTACAGGGGATTTGGATTCGGACACCGAGGACTCGGTCTTGGGTTCTCCTCTGGTGGCGGATTCGGACTAGGACGTCGAGGACTCGGTCTTGGGTTCTCCTCTGGTGGCGGATTCGGACTAGGACGCCGAGGACTCGGTCTTGGGTTCTCTTCTGGTGGCGGAATCGGACTCGGACACGGGATCGGAGGAATCGGAGGGATCGGAGGGATCGGACACGGCGGCGGAGGTTTCGGAGGACATCATGGACCATCTTACCATGGATACAAGGACCGTAGCACTGAAGTCGTTGTGTTGAATTTGGGTAAAAATAGGTCATTTGGGAGGGGACATGCAGTCGCTCCTGTTGCTGTTGCTCCTGTAGCAGTCGCTGCACCGGTAGTTGCTGCACCCGTAGCAGTTGCACCCGTAGCTGCAGCAGAATCAGGAGCAGGAGCAGGTACTCCATAAAGCATTATAATAGAAAACGAGAAATACAATAACTACGCAACCTCGTCCTACCTTGCCTATGGATGACCGCCAAGTATCCTGATATTAACTTCAGATACCTATATATTTTACTAGTTAACTTAAATAAAGGAATATTCTATCATTGCAATGCGATG